CAAGGTTAAAGTTATGATACTCTATGCATTAAATTAGTCTTATATTCCTCTGGTCTCCTCTTAATATTTGTTACTGATAGAAATTCAGAAATATATCTCTTGAACCTATTTCTAAGTAAAAAGATGATTTAGAAGCTTAGCTGCCTCAAAGCTACCCACTACTTGTAAACTGTGAACTTATATTTGATAAAGAAAAAATACACACATTAAATATTCTCCTTTTTAGGTTGTTCTCCTTTATAATTTTGATAATGATATGAAAGTATTCCTTGAAAATAGCACAAAGTGGGCCTGTGTGAGGAGAATCTTCATCAACTGAATTACATTTAATCCCTACAATAACACCTCCTTTCCATTAGTGAGAAATTTATATTTTGTAATAAGGCTAAGATCAGATATCATGTTTATATGTTTCCTTTTCATATTATATTCCCTTAGGTACTAATAGTCTTTCTACATCAGTCTAAGATCCAAACAAACGATAATATTGCATGAGCCAATGATTGTGCTCTGTGAAAATCACTCTGTGAAAACTAATGATTCAAGTTCAAAATTTTCTGTTGTACTCAAATAAGCTTTCTAACAAAATTAATCAGATGCTCTGTTAATTATGCACATAGTCATTACAGTGTTACATGTAATTAAGCATAAATGCTAAGCAGTTCAAACAAATAACTTTACAATAATTAGTATTGCTTGCACAGTCAAGTCAAATTTTAAATTTTACTTTTTACATTATTAGTTCTTCATAATTCTTCATGATCTGTTAGCAGAATCAATATTTACTATGTTTACATAATATCATATACTGTTTAATCATCTCCCTACCATTACCATGTGCATAAACTAGTCCTTGTGCAGGATACAAACCAAAAACAAAGTTGCCTTTGTCTTTTTTAAATATTTATTTTTTATTTGTACACAATACATTTATTTTATTTATTTTTATGTGGTGTTGAGGATCAAACCCAGAGCCTCCCACGTGCTAGGTGAGGGCTCTACCTCTGAGCCACAAACCCAGCCTGCCCCCCACCAGTCTGCTCCACCATCCGCCCTTGTCTTTTTTTTTTTTTTGCTCTTTCATTTACCAGCAATAGATTAAGACCTGGTCTTACAGATGCATTTTCCCCTCTTTCTTCTCAATCATCCCCATTACCAATCCAAATTGATATCTCTTCAAGACTATACCATATTCTTATTGATAGACATTTCAATAGTAAAGAAAGTAGAAAGAGGAGAACAGAAGTATTTGGGTTTTCTACTTTGGATTGAGATTGAAAAAGGAGAAGCCAGGTTATAGAGATTTAAGAGAAAAACAATGCATTTAAATCACTTAATTAATATGTCAGCCTTAATATTGAGACCAAATAAATTGTATCACACCCTACCTTCATTCTTTTTATGCCATAACTTCATCCAAGTGTTTTCTATAAGAAAACTTTCCTATTTCCTTGTTCCTTTTCAACCCCTGTTGCATTCACTTCTGTCCTCATTACCACACTGAATTGCTTTCCATAGGCATTCCTTGATCTGTTAGGAAATCTCCTTCATTTTCTAGTCTTTATCCATGTGTATTTCTCACTGAATTTAACATTGATTTTCCTGATTAYTTGTATGGACTGTCCTTCCTAGGGTTTCTGAAGCTTTCTGGGTTCTCTGCTTATRTGGTTGATTATTTCAGGGTTTGTTTTGTTGGCGTTGATGTCTCTTCTGTTTGATTTTCACATGTGGCAGTTCTCCTTTGGGTTTTACTTGTATCTCAAACAGTGTTTAAAGGGACAGTCCTTTACTTGTTAGGTTCCATGTACTAACTTCATGCTTATGACTTCCATATCTATATCTACATTCCAGACTTCTCTTTTAGAGGTAAACCCAAATTCTGAGCTCTTCTCTGGTCATTATATTGTGAACATGTAAAACCTTAAGATAATCAAAGACAAACATAATATATGTTTGTAATGTCTGTGCTTTTTAGTCATAAAGTATTACTATAAGTTATACTAGTGGACTTTCCACCACTCCTTTCCCTGTCACATTGTAAATCCTCAATGTGTCTAAAACAGTTTTGCATTTGTGGAACCCTAGCAGAGGGCTTTGATTAGGTGCTAAATAAATATTGAACTAAAATAGCATATAAATTCAAGCCACTTTTGGACAAATTCCACCATAATGAAACAAGATCTGACAACTCAATTACCTAACTTTAAGAGGTAAATGAAGTATCTTTGGGATGTATCTTAATAGACTAGAAATGATCCTCTTGTTAATTCTCATTTTAAAGTTAAGCTATTTCATTGATTAACTCATTCAATACAAATCCTATGAATCACTTTCTATGTCTTTAGTAAACTACTAAGTCTAGAATTACAAATGTAAATAAACAAATAAAATTAATTCATTAAATGACATCCCATGGTTTGAACCATCCCTAGATGGTACAGTGGGAATCAGAACAGTTTATAACAAGATGGGGCCACGAAGTGACACTGACCTTGTTTTGCAGGCATGTTCTGTCATATATTTGTTCTGATTTTATATAATCTTGGACTAGTTATGAGCTACCAATCTCCTCTTCTTTAAAATATGAGGTTTCAAAGAATTTTCATATTTATAGAACCTGAAATATAATACTTTCTAAATTTTATACTAATGGGGAGAACAGAATTTCACAAAGCATCATTTATTCCATATTGTATTGGTATAATTTTTACAGACAAACCAATGGTATTTGTGTGTTAAATAACTGTTCATAACTATATTAATGTGTCACTAGCATTAACCAATTATGCAAGATTACAAATTAGGTGTAGTTCATTTGTATAGTAGTTAAAATTGCTTCAAGAAAACCAAAATGTTCTAGGTATTTCAAGAGATAAGGTATTTGATATAAAAAATATTAGTTGTTATTGTACTGTAGTTTTATTCCAGACAGAAAGGAAGTCTTGAAACTTAGTAAGTTTGCAAGTGGTGAATAGACATGAAAACAGTACCATGGTTTCTACCCCACCCTTCCAATCTCAGGTTGATGAGAAGAAATGGAAGCCAACAAAGAAAGCTATGATATAGGAAAGCCAAGAGCACAGTAGCTTGGAAGCAGAGTCAATTGTGAGAACAAACCAAAAAAGAAATAGTTACCAACTGTGTCAAATGCTGCTGATAGTTCAAGTAACGGAAAGACAGAGAAAAAAGATCGTTGCACTTATCAACAAATAGGTCATTAGAGACTTTTATGTGAAGCACTAGGGGTTAAAATTGAATGGCTGGGTTTAAAGTAGAAAAAGAGGGAGGGAGGGAGGGAGGGAGGGAGAGGGAGAGAGAGAGAGAGAGAGAGAGAGAGAGAGAGAGAGAGAGAGAGAGAAAGTTTTATTTTAAGAGAAACAGAATTGAGCAGTATTGACAATTGGGTAAGTGAAATCCAGGGTTTTTATTTATAAGTTGGGAAAAAAATAAGAGCACTGAGAATAAACTAGTGCATAATTCAGAAATCTTTCTCTGTTAAGGGATTATAGTAAATTATTTTAGACTTTTTAGTCCCTACCATTTCTGGGGTAGAGTGAAAAGAGCCATACACAACATGTAAATAATGGGTGTGACTGTGMTCCAATGAACATTATCATATAAAAACCATACTGGGAACTTAGTTTGTCAATCCTGACCTAATATCAACCAGGTGGGGGGCACGATTACATGATTAAAAAGGAAGAGGATCACAGTTCGAGTGAAATCTGTGAGTAGATGAGTGCAGATGGGATTTGTGCCTACCATGTGGTGTGGGAGCATTGACAATGAATTCCATTAAGTTTGAAAGGCAAGGCAGACAAGAACATGCATCAATATGTAGATGGGCAGTGTGAACCTGAAAAATCTCTTCTGATTGTTTTAGTTTCCTCAAAGAAATAGCAARCAAGATTGACATATATAAGTGAATATTAGGAAGGAGCTTTTACGTTTTTAAGAGAAGGTGTATATAATAGTTGTATGAGAGAGTTGAAAAAAACTTAGCTAAAGGAATACTATAGACAATTATTGTTTTAGTAATATACCCAGTGTTCAGTTTAGGAGGTTCAAGTGTGTTCTTTTCCCCACATTGGAATTTTTATTCATTTTAGTTGCAATTTATAATTTTTCAGAAGTGCCAGATAAGCTTATGACAAATTATGACATATTTTGAGTCATTGAATATTCAAAATACTTTTTTTACCTACTATGGGAAAAAAACTATGGAATTCATTAATACCTCTACATTAATACCCCTAATTTGGACAGTAAAATTAGTCATGCATTCAACTAAATATATTTCTATGTTTATATATTTCTAGATTATTCCTGTTAGGTACTTTTTTTTAATGTATATGCTCTTGTCACTTCATCTGTGTTTCAGGCCTTTATCATATGGAATCCTAAGTTTCTCTGATGGTTTACTAAGTTTTGATTCAATGATGTATAAATTCTTAATGTGTTCAGATATAATGAAAAATATAATGTCCAGTTTTTATAAAATATTTTGTTACTGATGGAAAATAAATTATTAAAATGGAATATATTCACACTGATTACTATGAAGGTTACACATGGATTGGTGAATCAAAACAAGGTCTTGAAAGATAGAAAATCATTTGGTGTGTGAGATAAAAAAGGCATGGATGGTAAAATCAACCAGTGAATTGACTTTTTTTTTTTCTCTTGAAACAATTTAATTTACTAGACATTTAAATGGAAAGAATTTGTGACTTTGAAGATAGTGACAAGCTAAAAAACTGAAAGACCCAACTTATTGATCTTAAATTTTATTAACATAATTTCAAACAAATGCAATCCAATGTATTTTAAAGGAATAGACATTGTTTCTTCCCTAGATTAATCATGGAATCTTACTGAGAAAATAATCAGAACTGTTTAATTACCATTATTACTAAATAAGTATAACCAATATTTAAAATTTAGAACTATACATATGTTCACAGTTTAACATAGAGACTATATTTGTTTTTCAACTGCAGAATTGTTAACCAATTGCCAGCAGCTGAATTGTCAGTATAAATGTGCAATGATGAGGAATAGTACAAAATGTTACTGTGAGGATGGATTTGAAGTAAAAGAAGATGGGAGAAGCTGTAGAGGTAAGTGTAAAATTAAACTATATTTGTGTTAACTCTACTTGTTTTCAGTTTTGCATTATTGTAACGAATGCCTGCTCTGACCTACTCAAATTGAGGAAAGGTTAATTACCCACCATTTTGAAGATTTCAGTCCCTGATTGATTGGTCCCATTGCTTTTGGACCTATAACAATGGTGGAAACACAATGGATGAAGCCCATTCATTCATGGCCAGAAATTAAAGAAAGAGATGAATAGATAAATCTCCCAATCCCCCTTCCCTAAGTTCTTTAAAACTCAATCACCTTCAGTAAACACCTTGAGGTAAGAATAAAGCCTCCCATGCATGAACTGTGTGGCAACACTCTTATTATTATTATTATTATTATTATTATTAATATTATTAATATTTTTATAGAGGTTTAGTTAATAGAAAATAATATATCTTTGAGTACCTATCATGTTCCACTTAAAGTTTGTTAACTCTTTTTTTAGATTTAAAAGTTAATACATCCCCCCAAAATGTAAACATTACTCTTATGAGTTTATATCAATACATTTTCAATGTGTTTCACAATAATATCAGAATGTCAAAAAGGGCAAATGTTTTAGTTAAACATTAACAAATAGATTTAATTATTATATATTTCTAAATGTTTTATGGTAGTCATATGGCTATAGTCTAGTAAAAATTTATTAAGTAAGTTAATAATTGCTAGTTATGTAAAGTTCTTTATAATTTTTGCATTGGTAATTATGGTAGCAGATACTTACCAATAGCAATAATAATAGATATAAATATTGGTACACATATATTATGTATATTATTTGATATGGTACTTAGAATCTGTATTTATTTCAAATCTCTTAAGGGAGCATGCACACAAAATCGGGGAATAGCTTCATTGCCCAACTACTAATAATTGGAACATTTTCCAAAGAAATTGTGCTTTGCTGATTATTTTAATAAGCTTCACTTTCATATTATTGATCTTAAAATTTAAGATCAATAAGTTGGGTCTTTTAGTTTTATACTTTTCAGGTATATCTGTGGTTTGAACTTTAGTTTACTATTTATTTATTAATATAAAACATTTTTTATAACACAATTGATTATTAAATACTCATTAGAGTCTGCTATAAGAGGATCAGGTTGATATGTTTAGTTGTGTCATATGTTTTGAACCAACATTTAAAAATAAGTCATACATATAAAAGTCCAGACATTCTGAAAAAAATCTAGGGAATTCTAGATCCCTCATAATCACAAAAGTCACCTTGATGTACATGGCTTCAAATATAAATGGTGCCTTAGGACACACGTGGAATTTGTGGTTCAAAATAGCCCTTAATATTTAAATGTGTTAGACTTAGGTACCTATAACATATATTTCGCTCTTATTTTCTACACCTTACTCCAGTAAGAATCAGGATTTTCAGTTCCTTTTGCAAGGATAAATTGAAGTCTTGAATTTCCTAGTCTTTGAATTAAATGCAAAAATATAATCATAGTTGATCCCTCCTGTTGAACACGAGTAACAATTGTATAGCAATAATTTGAGAAATCACTAATGGAAAAGAAACTTGTTTTATTTTCTCCAAATATTCGAATGGCTGGGTCTGAGAATCACTTATACTTCCATGAAACTGTATTTCCAGTCAATTCTCTGTCTTAAAGAAAAAAGAAGGCAGCATCACAAGTAATGACTTGTSTATTCCTTTGTGGCCAATTTTGTGGAGCTGTATCATGTCACAGCAGTATATTCTAGCTAAGTAGAAAGAATAAAAAAAATCATTAATCACATTTCTTTCCTGTATAATATAATTATATCAGAAATGCCAAAATAGACACCAATAATATTAAAGTAGAAAAATCTGTGGAAATAGACAAGAATCATTACTGCAACCAGAGCCTGGATTTTACCAAATGGAAGACTAGATTTCTTTTAGAATTACCATAGACTTAATTCCAAACTCTGTTCTTTCAGTTCCAAAAGCACTTATTGAAAATGAGCCATCCATGGCTGCAGGTTATTATAGGACACTAAAAAAATCAGAGAATAGAGCAAATTAATTCCATACAACTACATTGTTTCCCAATTTAAATTGTCCCTTATGCTATTCAGCAATCTTTTTGCTTTCCCTTAGTAAGTTCCTTTATTAGCTTGGGTTTTCCCAAAAGCCAGTTCTGAAACAAGGATTCAAGATTCAAGGTTTATTTGTGCCTCACCATGCTTTTTTTCTTTTTTCTTCCTTCCTTCCTTCCTTCCTTCCTTCCTTCCTTCCTTCCTT